ACATGTTATATCATACCTTGTATATTTATTTATCCTCTTTTTCATAAAATATGTATTACTTATTACTAAACCTCTTTCTACACATGGCTCAATTAAAGGCTCCCCATTTTCATTTACCCCTGGCACCCCAAATTTACCTACTACTCCCTCCACAACATTTTTGCCCACTTTAGCATTGAAATCCCCAACCACCATTACTCTCAAACCTGGTTCAAAACTCCCCATGCATTCACTGAACATTTCCCAAAATCTCTTTCTCTCCTCTACACTTCTCTCTTCTCCAGGTGCATGTACGCTTACTATAACCCACTTTTCTCATCCAACCTTTATTTTACTCCACATAATCCTTGAATTAATACATTTATAGTCCCTCTTTTCCTGCCATAACTTATCCTTCAACATTATTGCTACTCCTTCTTTAGCTCTAGCTCTATTTGAAACCCCTGAACTAATCCCATTTATTCCTCTCCACTGAAACTCTCCTACCCCCTTCAGCTTTGTTTCACTTAAAGCCAGGACATCCAGCTTCTTCTCATTCATAACATCCACAAGCATCTCTTTCTTATCATTTGCACAACATCCACGCACATTCAGACTTCCCACTTTGACAATTTTCTTATTCTTTTTAGTAATTATTACAGGAAAAGGGGTTACTAGCCCATTGTTCCCGGGATTTTAGTTGACTTTTACAACACGCATGGCTTACGGAGGAAAGATTCTTATTCCACTTCCCCATGGATATGAAAGGAAAAGTAATAAGACCAAGAACTATTAAGATAAAATCAAAGAAAACTCAGATGAGTGTGTATAAATAAACATGCACATGTATGTGTAGTGTGACCTAAGTGTAAGTAGAAGTAGCAAGACGTACCTGAAATCTTGCATGTTTATGAGACAGAAAAAAAGACACCCGCAATCCTACCATCATGCAAAACAATTACAGGTTTCCGTTTTACACTGACTTGGCAGGACGGTAGTACCTCCCTGGGAGGTTGCTGTCTACCAACCTACTACTTTAATAATTTCCCTAATTTCATCTCTACAGGTTATCAATCACAATTCATGTAATATGATATAATACACAATATTAATAACATAGAAACATGACATATACACTAGAATGAATAAAATACATGTCATTAGGTATGTGGCTAGTGGTGGTGACAGCAGCCATTGTTGTTGGTGGGGTTTATAGGCCCACCACAGCGACCATTCCTGCTCCTGACTACATATGTAGAGAACCTAGGATAACCCAAAAAAAGTCAGTGATTTGTAAGTGCTACACTCTTAATGCTTCACTTAATTGCTACACTCTTAATGCTTCACTTAATTGCTACACTCTTAATGCTACACTTAATTGCTACACTCTTAATGCTACACTCTGCCACTGCTACCTCATGATGTCTACCACTGTTGCTTCATGTTGTCTGTCACTGCTGCTTCATGTTGTCTGCCACTGCTACCTCACGATGTCTATCACTGATGTCGCCAAACAATCGAACATTTCTGCTATTTTGAGCTCAATTTCAAGGTACTTTTCATTGTGAGACCAATTAAAATCGTATTTATTTTTGTAGTATATCTTCCATTCTATCGCATGAGACCAAATAAAATGAGAATACAACCATAAAAACCATACGAAAATATACCGCTAAGGGGAGGCTAATGAACTCCATTATTTATGGTCTGATTTCTTTCATTTTTGGTGCACGTTAAGAAGCATCTTTTCATCATACATTGCCCAAGTTTCAATAATATAGTCCAATAAACAACTGAGATCCAATTCCCTAGATCAAGAACAAGAGCCCCCTCACCAGTGTCAATTAACCTCCCTTGAGGCCTGCTCGCGTCTGGAAGCAAAAAATCGACCGAGCAGCTGCTCGCATCTGGAAAAACTCACACGTGGATGCACTCGTAAGTAGAGGTTCCACTGTATAAGTATTTACATTTGTTGTTTGTAAACTATAGTTAATCTTTAAATAACGTATTTTTTGTGAATATTTTTGTGGGTCTGGAACGGATTAATTGTAATTACTTTATTTCTTATAGGAAATATTGCTTCCCCTTTCGGCAGTTTCGAGTTTAGGCCTAGCTCCTGGAACGGATTATGGCCATTCCACTGTACAGTGGAACCCTGAGTTTTGGCCATAATCTGTTCCAGGAGCTAGGCCTAAACTCGAAATGGCCAAAAGCTGAAGCAATATTTCCCTTAAGAAATAATGTAAATCCAATTAATCAGTTCCAGACCCACCAAAATATTCACAAAAAATACGTTTTTTACAGAACAACTATAGTTTACAAACAACAAATATAAATACTTAAATGAGTAATACAATACATACATAAACATTTAAATAAACATTTAAAATCACATTTATGTACCTTTATCAAGAGTGTATCAGTCTGTAGTGGAAGGAAGGCGGGGTAGGGGTCGGCCTAGGAAAGGTTGGAGGGAGGGGGTAAAGGAGGTTTTGTGTGGGAGGGGCTTGGACTTCCAGCAGGCATGCGTGAGCGTGTTTGATAGGAGTGAATGGAGACAAATGGTTTTTAATACTTGACGTACTGTTGGAGTGTGAGCAAAGTAACATTTATGAAGGGATTCAGGGAAACCGGCAGGCCGGACTTGAGTCCTGGAGATGGGAAGTACAGTGCCTGCACTCTGAAGGATGGGTGTTAATGTTGCAGTTTAAAAACTGTAGTGTAAAGCACCTTTCTGGCAAAACAGTGATGGAGTGAATGATGGTCAAAGCTTTTCTTTTTCGGGCCACCCTGCCTTGGTGGGAATCGGCCAGTGTGTTAATAATAATAATATCGAAGTCTTGTTGGCATCTGGAAGATAGGGAAGAGAGACTTATTGTGTGGAAGGGGAATCCCCTCCCATTAAGATTTTAACAAGTCCTTATCTGGGGTTACTTCCCTTCTTTGTCTTTAAATGCCACTAGGACCAGCTTGAGTCACTGGACCCCTGTTGCACAAAATAACTGTCAAGAGTGCTCTGTTTCTGGCATCTCTAAGATTTCCCTGAAATGCGACAGGGTTTCGTCACTAAACATGTTGCAGACGTGGCTTGTTTCAGCTTGGTCAGGGTGATTCTTTTCAACAAAACTTTGCAACTCATTCCACTTTGCACACATGTCCTCAATCACTGAAGGCTCCTCCTTCACTCCCTCTTCCTCCTCCTCTAAAGCAAGTTCCTCAGCTGTGGTCTGATGCTGTTCCAGTTGAAGCTCTTGCAGTTCGTCAGTGGTTAGCTCTTCCTTGTGGTACTCCACCAACTCTTCCACATCCTCGCCACTCACCTCCAACCCCATGGACTTGCCCAATGCCACAATACCTTCCACAACAAGCAGAGGGTCGGCAGGGTCAGGGTCAGCCTCAAACCCCTCAAAATCCCTCTGGATGACACACTATTGCCACAATTGTCTCCAAGCAGAGTTCAAAGTCCTGGAAGTCACTCCCTCCCAAGCTTTACCTATAAGGCTTATACAGTTGTAGATATTGAAGTGATTCCTCCAGAACTCTCTTAGTGTCAACTCAGTGTCCGAGGTCACTTCAAAGTACGTTTCAGACACTGCTTTTGAGTAGAGCTTTTTGAAGGCAGAAATGACCTGCTGGTCCATGGGCTGGAGGAGAGGAGTGGTGTTAGGAGGCAAGAACTTCACTGTTATAAAACTAAAGTCCCAAGACAAGAGGTCTACCAAGTTTGGAGGATGAGCAGGAGCACTGTCCATTACCAGGAAGCACATGAGTAGCAAATTATTTTCCAAGAGGTATTTTTTTCACACTGGAGCCAAATACTTCATGGACCCACTCTTTGAAAATTTGCCTTGTGACCCAGGCCTTATGATTAGCTTTCCACAACACACACAATTTACTTTTGATGACAATGTTTTTCTTGAGCACTCTCGGATTTTCTGAGTGATGCACCAGTAAAGGCTTCACTTTAAAATCCCCACTAGCGTTAACACAGAACAAAAGAGTTAGCCTGTCTTTCATAGGCTTGTGTCCTGGCAGTGCCTTTTCCTCCCGAGTAATGTAGGTCCTCTTTGGCATTTTCTTCCAAAAGAGGCCTGTTTTGTCACAAATGAACACTTGTTGGGGTTTGAATTCTTCAGCCTCTATGTACCCCTTGAATTCACACACAATTTTCAGCCACCAATTTGTCAGAACTGGCAGCCTCACCATGCCTTACCACACTGTGCATGCCAGTACGCTTTTCAAATCTGTCAAACCAGCTGGTCTTAAATTCACTAAAATAAGCACTGATTCCAGGCACTTTCTTTACAAGATTGGCATGCAACTGCCTTGCCTTTTCACAAATGATCAACTCTGAAACACTATCACCCGCTATCTGTTTATTGTTGATCCACACCACCAACAACTTCTCAGCCTCTTCGACTGTTCATGTTCTATTTTTGGTTAACATGTCAACACCTTTTGCAACATCAGCTTCCTTGAGTTCTTTTCTCTTTGCCAGGATAGAAGTGATTGTTGATTTGTTTTTGCTGTACATCCTGGCAAGCTCACCCACATGTACGCCACTCGTAGTTTTGTACTATCTCCTTCACTTCTATATGGTGTTTCTCACTTTCTTTACCAAAGAGCTGCCTCTATGAAGTTTCTTTGGGCCCATGGTGGCTTATTTCACGGTCACAATCAATAAACAAGCACTAAACACAATGAATTTATTGTGAAATGTTCGGATGAGTAGGCAGGGTAATATTCACTCAAGGATAAACAAAGCTAGACTGGCTCACGATGCCTGTGCAGGGAGGCGCGCAGGCACATGCAGGTGGACAAGTCTGGTATGCCGGCCGAAACACGGGGCAACGGCCAAAACTCTGGACAAAATTTAGCCGAAAAGTGGCCAAAACTTAAAAAACTGATACCCAGGGCGGCCGAAACTCAGGGTTCCACTCTGCTATATTACTCCTTCACTACACTAAACACAGTCCAATATACCTGTAGAATAACCTTAAACTTATGATAATAATACTTACCTTATCTTCATCCTTGGTCTTGGAAAAGTACAATAGTCCTGAAGAGCCCGAGTTAAAGGCTCCCACAATGAATCGAGCATATGACTGTGTCCAGTTTTTACGCACCTTCTTACCCTCTCGTAGGAAGAAGGTGCGATGCAGGAATCCTTCTTTCATGATATTTTCACTTAATTCTGACTTTAAAGTAGAAAACAGTTAATTTAGTAATCCATGGCAATGGTGTAAATTTATGCTTAGTATTCATTTCCCATAAAAATTAAAATTACAATATTATAAATTATTATTACAACAGCTAATATTTAGATTTCCTACAAGTCCCGCTTTTAAAACTTCAAATTTCAGATGTGACCCAAAGTGGGGCTTTACTAAGGATGGTGAATTTGTGGATGTAAAATTATGTTTTATGGGATATGGAAAGATTTGTGTTGAACCTTCATTTACAATACAATATTAATGTATTAGATAACTAACTCTTCCTTATTACTACGTCATAGTCCATGAATAATAATGCAGTGACACCCCAAATTTCAGCCATACTTTATTCCAGAAGGCTGTTCGAGTGCCATTACTGAAAGAATTTGTTCCCATAAGGAATAATGTAAATTAGATTAGTCCATTTCAGAACCCCAAAAATACACTTACAAAAGCACTTACAATAATACACTTATATAATTGTTCGAGTTAGGAGCTATACAAAACTCAGCGTACCACTGTACTGATCATGACCCAAATCTCATCAGATGTCTATAATACTCAATTTAATGTAGACCAAGACTGCAAATATTGAACAGTTAACAAAACAAAAACTACCTTCAGCAACACCAAGAATATCTTAGTTAATGTAACCATGATCATATGTTACCATTTACTAGATATGATGGGAGGAATCCTGTACCAAGTGATTTTGACCTAAACGGGGCCTATCGCCATTAATGGACAAATACATTCTTATTTGTGTTCTTTACAGCTGGCATACTAGTCAGCTGATTTTATCCTTGTAAGGAAAGAATATTGATTTCTGCAGGATTCCTCCACCATGTAATAAAAGCTTCATGCAGACTTGCTTCATAAGAATGCACTACTATGCCATATTTCATTTCTACTGATAACTCTATACAAAACTGGATTACGTATGAGTGATGGTGGAAGTGTTGAATTATAAAGAAAGTTTTTTCTTTCTTTTTGGGTTTTTCTTTCTTTTTTGGGTCACACTGCCTAGGTAGGAAATGGCCAAAGTGTTAAAAAAAAAAAAAATATACATGATATACTTAGCCATGTGCAATCAATACTGCTTGCAAAGCACAATGAAGATTCTTATTATGTAGAATTAAGTGTCTGTGATTTGAACGAGCTTACTGCTGCTGCCATGGGTCCATTATACATCTACTGCATAAATTATAATTATTATTATTATTATTATAATCATGGGGGAGCATAAAACTGTAGGATTATACAGCACATGTAGGGGAGGGATGGAAGGCATTCAGACTCAATTCAGGGAACCGGAGCACAGACCCAATTCCCTAGATCAAGAGCTCCTCACCAGCATCAAGGAACCTTCCTTGACGAGACTTTACTGCATAAAACAAGGCTACTGTCCCTTTGAAGAGCCTGAGGAATTTTAGCTTCAATTCCTCCCATGTCATCCATCATCAAACATCAAAAACAAGCACTAAGCTAATACAGGACCCTTTTCTCAGCTACAGTAACTTTTTCATTTCCCAATTAGTAAACAACAACCGACTGGAAACTCACCAAATTCTCGGCTATAGTAGAAATTCTGAGTCCTTTGGCATCTAATGAGGGACTGTCAATGTCATCAATCTGAAAATTTTACAATGTAATTAAAATGATAGTTCTCTATTTCCACCTACATTAACCCTAAATAAAATAAATTATTAATTAAAAAATAAAAGTAATATAGCATCTGGCAGCTTCATGAAACAATCAGAATTACTATATGGAACTATACAAAAGTGGTGTTTCTGAAACCTAAACAATGCTAATACCAAATATATTAAATTTTTGCAGTAATATTTATTTTAAAACCTTTTAATTTTTTTAACAATATTCTAATTATTGTGAATCAGAAAAATCAAATAGCCAGGAATCGAGTTGGTTGGAACAAAAGAACTAGCCAAAAATAAGTGTCAAATTGTGTAAAATCGCCGAAGTATAAAGTGCACAGATTGCTAAACTTTTGCCTGCATAACGTTTTAAGTTTTCTGTTCAATTTCGCATGTTTTTGTCATTACCTCGGTAAAAAATTTACTACCATTACAGAGGATATATAATTCTTATCAACCCTTTCACTGTTTTGGCCATATATACATACACGTCTTACGAGCCAATGTGTTTGACGTATATATACTCAAAAATTCTAGCGGCTTCAAATCCAGCAGGAGAAAGCTGGTAGGCCCACATGTGAGAAAATGGGTTTGTGTGGTCACTGTGCACAGTGTCAAAAAAGTCCTGCAGCGCATAATGAGAAAAAAACTCCAACTGTGTTTTTGGATTAAAAAGTCGACTTTGAGGTGTATTTTCGCATAGTATTTATGGTTGTATTCTTGTTTTCTGGGTCTCATTTGATAGAATGGAAAACATATTATAGAAATGGAAGTGATTTTGATTGGTTTTACTATGAAAAGGATCTCGAAATGGAGCTCAAAGTGGCAGAAATGTTCGATTTTTGATGATGTTCAAAAGTAAAACATTGTCCAATAAATGTCCAACTAGCCATTCTAATACGCTGTCACAAATGGGCTGACGTTATTCATACAATTATTACAATATATTGCAGTAGTCTGCATAACAGTAAAACTTCTATTTTTTGTGTGAATAAAAATTCAAACTAGAAAGCAAGAGTATTATAACAGGGGCCTGGAGACATGACTGATGAACAGAGAAAATGTTATTTTAATGCCAGGAATGTCTGCATTGTTCATTCTGGGCCCTATTTTGAAACTGATATTTTTTAATTTGCATGAAATTGGCCAAATTGCCAATTTCTGACCACTATTGGGTAGTTGAAATTGTTAAATAGGCAGTTTCTTGTACTCAGTCAATAGAACAAATGCAGATCTAAAGAAATAGGTATGAGTTTGGTTGACTGGAACAATGGAATTGGCCAAAAATAGGGCTCAAAGTGGGCAAAATCTCCGATGTGTAAATGTTGCCAAGGTCACTAACTTCGCGAGAGTGTAATTCTATAAATTTTCCATCAAATTTCGTACTTTTGGTGTCATTATCATCGGGAAAAGATTCCCTATCATTTCGTAAGAATTTTTTTTTCTTCTTTTAATATTTTGCAACACCAGGAGACACTTCAGGATTTGGGGTCGCGACAGTCAAACAGTTAACCCTTTGAGGGTCAACAGGCCCTCTCCGAGACTCGTTCTCAGGGTGGGCCAAATTTAAAAAAAAAAATACTTTTTTCTTATGAAAAGATAAGAGAATCTTTTCCCGATCATAATGACACCAAAAGTATGAAATTTGATGAAAAACTTATGTTATGCTCTCGCGAAGTTAGCAGTCCTGGCGATGTTAACGCATCGGCGATTTTGCCCACTTTGAGCCCCATTCTCGGCCAATTCCACTGTACTAGTCGGCAAAAAAAAAAAAACATGAATATTTCGCTAGAACTCCATTTTTTCTATCGAATGAGTGCAAGAAACCACCCATTTACCAATTTCAACTATCCAGTACAGTGGTCAGAATTTAGCAATTTTGCCAATTTCACACAAATTTCAAAAGATGCCAATTTCCGAATAGAGTCCAGAATAAACAAGAAAGACATTCCTGGCACTAAAATGACATTTCCTCTGTTAATTAGTCATGTCTCGAGGCCCCTCTTACATTCTTTTGCTTTCCACTTTGAATTTTTATTCTCACAAAAAATATAAGATTTACTGTTATGCAGACTACTGTATTAGTGTAAAAAATGGTATAAATAATATTGGCGCACTTGCGAAAGAATATTAGACTCACCAGTCGACGTGTATTGGATGCTTGGCATGATTTGTTTACCTTTGAACTTTGGTAAAAATTGAACATTTCTGCTACTTTGAGCTCAATTTCAAGGTACTTTTCATTGTAAAACCAGTCAAAATCATCTCAATTTCTGTAATATGTCTTCCATTCTATAAAATGAGACCAAGAAAACTAGAATACAACAATAAATACCATACGAAAATACAGTGCAAAGTCGCTGTTTTATTCCAAAAAAACGGTCAAAGTTTTTTTGTCTCATTATGCACTGTGTGCTGCAGGATTTTTTTTATACTGCACACACTGACCACATAGACCCATTCTTTCATATGTAGGCATACCAGCTTTCTCCCTCTAGTTTTGAGGGCACTAGAATTTAGGCGTACTACTAGTACGTCAAAAACCCTGGGTTGTAAGCCGTACTAGTACGGCCGAAACCCTCAAAGGGTTAAATCACATCACTGTCAGAGTTTTTAATTTCAGGGGTCATGATAGCGGAAGAGTCAATACAGCACTAATGACAGCTGCATATCACTTTTATGACAAAATCATTGCACTTTGTAAGAAATCCCCCAAGTTAATATGTTTCTGCTATTACAGCCTTAATTTTTATCATGAAACTACTGCACAGTGAAAGATCTTCAGATATTGACATTTCAATTAATAAATTTCCAATTAATTTTTTTATGCAAACTAAACCTGCTCTAAGCAGTTCAATGAAGATAAATGTAAAGTTCCAAAGCTCAGAAATGTACATAACCCTAGCACCTACCAGCTTAATAATGTTGAACTTTGCCGTATAGAATGCGAGAAGGATTTGGGGGTTATGGTAAGCAGCAACCTTAAATCAAGACAGCAGTGCCTAAGTGTGCGTAATAAGGCAAATAGATTGCTGGGATATATATCAAGAAGTGTAAGCAACAGAAGTCCAGAGGTTATACTTCAGCTTTATACATCTTTATTAAGGCCTCACCTAGATTATGCAGCTCAGTTCTGGTCTCCATATTACAGAATGGACAAATTCGTTAGAAAACATTCAGCGTAGAATGACTAAATTAATACATAGCATTAGAAATCTTCCTTATGAAGAAAGATTGAAGACTCTTACATTACATTCACTTGTTAGATGAAGAATGAGGAGAGACATGATCGAAGTGTGTAAGTGGAAGATGGGTATTAATAAGGGGGATATTAGCAAGGTCTTGAGGATATCTCTCCAGGAGAGAACCCACAGTAATGGATTCAAATTGGACAAGTTTAGATTTAGAAGGGATGTAGGAAAGTATTGGTTTAGAAATAGGGTAGTTGATGAGTGGAACAGTCTACCTAGTTGGGTTATTGAGGCTAAAACCTTGGGTAGTTTCAAATATAGGTTGGATAAATACATGAGCGAGAGGGGTTGGATTTGAGTGGGAGTTGTATATGAGAGTGGATAGAGTTATCAGAGCTTATTTCTTGGGTGGCACTGAAAATTGGGTTGGGCAAATGTTTTGTTAGTGGGATGGAGTGTAAAGGACCTGCCAAGTATGGGCCAACAGGCCTGCTGCAGTGTTCCTCCTTTCTTATGTTCTAAGCCCCTTATGGCATTTTTATGAAACACAATAATGCTGTAAGATGAAGTTCTGGATATGGCACAAATTCCACAAGCTACAACTGTGTTTCTCACATTATTCAATATCAAGCAAGTTAAGCAAGTTATATGATGCATATATTTTAACCCTTTGACTGTTGCAACCCCTAATCCTGAGGTGTCTCCTGGTGTCGCAAAATTTCAAAAAAAAAAAAAATTATTTTTTCTTATGAAATGATAGAGAATCTTTTCCCGATTGTAAAGACACCAAAAAAACGAAATTTGATGGAAACCTGACAGAATTACGCTCTCGTGAAGTTAGCGACCTCGGAGATATTTACAAATTGGCAATTTTGCCCACTTTGAGCCCTATTTTCGGCTAATTCCATTATTCCAGTCAACCAAACTCATAGCTATTTCTTCAGAACTCCATTTTTTCCATCGATGGAGTACAAGAAACTGCCCATTTACCGATTTCAACTACCCAATAACATGGTCAGAAATTTGCAATTTGGCCAATTTCACGAAAATTAAAAAATATGACAATTTCAAAATAAGGACCAGAATGAACAATGCAGACATTCCTGGCTCTAAAATAACATTTTCTTTGTTCATCAGTCATGTCTCCAGGCCCCCTGTGATATTACTCTTGCTTTTTATTTTGAAATTTTATTCAAACAAAAAATAGAAGATTTACTGTTATGCAGACTACTGTAATACTGTAATAATTGTAAAAATTACATCAACCCATTCATGACAGCATATTAGAATGGCTATTTGGACATTTATTGGACAATGACATCATTTGTTTACTTTTGAACATCGGCAAAAATTAAACATTTCCAGTACTTTGTGCTCCATTTCCAGGTTCTTTTTATAGTAAAATTAATCAAAATCACCTCTATTTTTATAATATAGTTTCCATTCTATCAAATGAGACCAAGAAAACGAGAATACAACCACAAACACTATACGAAAATAGACCACAAAGTCGGCATTTTAATTAAAAAAAAAACGGTCGGAGTTTTTTTTTTCTCATTATGCACTGCGTGCCCAGGATTTTTTTTTATATGGTGCACACTGACCACACAGACCCATTCTCTCACATGTGGGCCTACCAGCTTTCTCCTGCCTGATTTGAAGCCGCTAGAATTTATGAGTATATATACGTCAAACACGGTACCTCGTAAACGTATATATACGACCGCGACAGTCAAAGGGTTAATTACAATTTCAAAAATGCACTCCAACACTACTCGATCATATACATACCTGCGGTAGTCTCCACAGACTTTTAGAACCATTTTCTTCATAGTAGTAGATCTTGCCTTTGTCATCATTCGTCGCCAACCACTATTGACACACAGTACAATAAGAAGCATTCACAGTGCCTATCATTGGCAACAGTTAAATATGTTAAGCATAGCCTGTATGAAGCAGCTTAGCTGTCTATATTGCTATAGAGCAATGTACTATGAGGGGGAAATAATGACATACATACTTATGTTTTTCCAAATGTGCAGAGAGGGTGATTGTAGCCAAGAATTTGATTTTTGGGTAAAAGTTTTAGTGAAGTGCTAATTTATGGAATGCTAAAAAAAGTTATATGGGAAATTAAATGGAAAGCTCAAAAAAAAAAAAAAATTCATAAGATGACTAAGAGCGGGTAGGAAGAAGAAAATGAGAAAGTGGCACACAGTTATTATACGATGATAAAGGAATATTACTCAGAGTTGGTGTACATATTTATATAAAATGTATGAAGAAAAGACTGCTGACAAGACTGGTGTCATAATCAGATATGAAATGTAGCACAAGTATAACATATAAATATATGGAAGTATGAGCAAGCGGTAACAAGCAGACAAAAAAATGAATCTATAATAAAAACAACTGAAAAATAAATTAGAATGATTATATGCCAACGACTCTCAGAGACAAATCTAAACAGAGAGAATACAAATTTACAATCAAAACACTCATTACTGTTAAAAAAATACTATCACAATTTCAAACCAAACTGTCTCATGACATACAACACTTTAACAAAAGTACTTTATAGTTTTCAATATTGAACTTGCCTAAATCATTACAGCCATAAATATTTTGCTTGACATTTAAAAGAAGAAATTATGTTCCAGCACTGACTAAAAAAATTCTGAACAAAACTCCAAACCGGGAGAAGACTAAATATACTTTATATCACCAATAAGGCATGGAAAAAAAAATTAATGAAGACAGAGATAAGCACTATCATACAAAATGTAGTTTAAAAAAAAAATTGAATAGACTAAAAAGTTTTACAGCATAAACTATACATATGTTGTACTGGATTCAAGTCTTAACTTGTTTTAGATCAATTTTTTAAAAATTTAACAAGGAAAAGAAAGCAAATACAGTGGACCCTCGCATAACACTATTAATCCGTTCCTGAGAGCTCAATGTTAGGTGAAATTATCGTTATGCGAATTAATTTTTCCCATAAGAAATAATGGAAATCAAATTAATCCGTTCCTGACACCCAAAAGTATGAAAAAAAAAATTTTTTACCACAAGAAATATTAAGTTTAATACACACAAACTGAAGAAGACATGCACAGATAATACTCTACTAAGAATAGAATACATGACACTTACCTTTATTGAAGATCTGGTGATGATTGATAGGATGGGAGGAGGGAGTGTGTTGAGAAGGGGAATCCCCTTCCATTAGGACTTGACGTGTCAAGTCCTTTTCTGGAGTTACTTCCCTTCTTCTAATGCCGCTAAGACCAGCTTCAGAGTCACTGGACTTCTGCCGCACAACATATCTGTCCATAGAGGTCTGTACCTCTCGTTCCTTTATGACTTTCCTAAAGTGGTTCACAACATTGTCAGTGTACAGGTTGCCAACAAGGCTAGCAACAGCTGTCTGAGGGTGATTTTCATCAATAAAGGTTTGCAATTCAAGTCACATTGCACAGATTTCCTTAATCTTTGAAGTAGGCAACTTCTTCAATTTCTCTATCCCCTCCTCCCAAGCAGTTTCCTTAGGTCTGCCCTCTTGCTGTTGAAAATGATCTAGCAGCTCATCAGTGGTTAGTTCTTCATTGTCCTCCTCCACCAACTCTTCCACATCCTCCCCACTAACCTCCAACCCCAAGGACTTCCCCAATGCCACAATTGATTCCTCAACTGGCATACACCTCTCAGTGTAAGCCTCAAATCCTTCAAAATCCCTTTTGTCTACACATTCTGGCCACAGTTTCTTCCAAGCAGAGTTCAAGGTCCTCTTAGTCACTCCCTCCCAAGCCTTACCTATAAGGTTTACACAATTGAGGATATTAAAGTGATCTCTCCAAAACTCTCTTAGAGTCAATTGAGTTTCTGAGGTCACTACAAAGCACCTTTCAAACAGAGCTTTTCTGTACAGTTTTTTGAAGCTTGCAATAACCTGCTGGTCCAATGGATAAAGGAGAGGAGTGGTATTAGAAGGCAAAAACTTGACCGTAATGAAGCTCATGTCCCCACAAAGTTGCTCTGCCAAGTCTGTAGGATGACCAGGGGCATTGTCAACACCAGGAGGCACTTCAAGTCTAATTTCTTTTCAGTTGGTAATTTTTCACATTGGGGGCAAATGCTTGGTGCAACCAGTCATAGAAAAAGTCCCTAGTGACCCATGCCTTACTGTTTGCCCTCCACAGCACACACAAATTAGCCTTGAGGATATTCTTTTGCCTGAACGCTCAGGGAGTTTCAGAGTGATACACTAATAAAGGCTTCACTTTGCAATCACCACTAGCATTGGCACACATTAACAAAGTAAACCTGTCTTTCATAGGCTTATGTCCTGGGAGTGCCTTTTCCTCCTCAGTAATGTAGGTCCTACTTGGCATTTTCTTCCAAAACAGGCCTGTTTCGTCACAATTAAACACTTGTTCAGGTTTCAGTCCTTCACTGTCTATGTAGTCCTTGAATTCCTGCATATATTTTTCAGCTGCTTTGTGGTCCGAACTGGCAGCCTCACCATGCCTTATCACACTACGTATGCCACTACGCTTCTTAAATCTCTCAAACCAACCTTTGCTGGCCTTAAATTCACTCACATCACTAGTTGCAGGCATTTTTCTAATTAAATCCTCATGCAACTTCCTAGCCTTTTCACTTATGATCGCTTGAGAGATGCTATCTCCTGCTATCTGTTTTTCGTTCATCCACACCAATAACAGTCTCTTAACATCTTCTATCACTTGCGATCTCTGTTTCGAAAACAAAGTTGCACCTTTGGCAAGAACAGCTTCCTTGATTGCCATTTTCTTGGACACAATAGTAGCGATGGTTGATTGGGGTTTACTATACAACCTGGCCAGCTCGGAGACACGCACTCCACTTTCATACTTAGCAATGATCTCTTTCTTCATCTCCATAGTAATTCTCACCTTATTCCTGTAGGGTTGGCACTAGAAGCTTTCTTGGGGCCCATGGTCACTTATTTTGCAGGTGAAATCACTAAAAACGCTGTAATAATACGAAATGTTCTGATTTTATGCTTGGATGTTACCGCGGAGGCTGGCTTATAAACAATGCCGCCGGCGGAACAAGTGAGGCTGGCTCAGGCCGCACATAGACGCATCTCGGACAAATCGCGTTGAGCGAGTTTTTTAGCGCTATTTGAGGCAAAATTTTAGTGATAAAATGTATCGCTACGCGGATTTAACGTTATGTGATGCCAACGTTAGGCAGGGGCCCACTGTATTTGGTTTCAATTAATAAACAGTTTAATAATACACCTTTTACCCATGAGTGATTTTCACCAGCCCTGTTGTTCAGAACAAATGCATTAATAACTGTAAAGTGCAATATTGTAACTATTATATAAATAAAAGTCATGGTTCATTCCTCTTGGCTTTTACAATAAACTAGTTCAATGTCAATGTTATTGGTGAAACAGAAAGCTTGACTATAATGTGTTTGGAGACTTTCTGAAGCTGAGGTTTAGCTGATAAAACTAAACATGAAAATAAAGGAAAATTTCAAGGGTAAATTTTACAAAAGAAAATGATAGTCTACAAATTCAATACTTAATTTTCAAAAAAAAAAAAAAAAAAAAAAAAACACGCATGCAAGATAAAACTTTTCTGAAAAGCCCATGGTATGGACAACATTTAGGACAGACAAACTACCTGCAAAGTACAGTTTACATGTAGAATGTAAAGTGTGTGTTAGGTAATGTTACGAGACAAAATATTGGTGTTAAACACTGAAATTCCTTCAAAAGTTTGATAGAATTAGACTCTGGTACATACTAACATTCATTTTACCACTCAGTCACTAGTTAGTGTGTGCCTTATAAATCATTTGCTAGATCAGGCTATGAGGGATTTTTTTTTTTTAACACACCGGCCATCTCCCACCGAGGCAGAGTGACCCCAAAAAAAAGAAACACTTTCATCATCATTCAACACTTTCACCATCACTCACACACAATCACTGTCTTTGACGAGGTGCCCAGAAATGACAGTTTAGATGTCACTCCAAACAGCCAATATTCCCAACCCATCCTTTAAAGTGCAGGAATTGTACCTACCACCTCCAGGACTCAAGTCCAGCTAACCAGTTTCCCTGAATCCCTTCACAAAATATTACCCTACTCACACTCCAACAGCTTGTCAGGTCCCAAAAACCATTCGTCTCCATTCACTCGTCTAACATGCTCATACATGCCTGCTGCATGCCCAGGCCCCTTGCGCACAAAACCTCTTTCACCCCCTCACCCCATCCTTTCCAAGTACGACCCCTACCCCTCCTCCACTACACATTTATACACCCTCCAAGTCATTCTATTTTGCTCTATCCTCTCTAAATGACCAAACCACCTCAACTCCTCTTCAGCCCTCTGAATAATACTTTTAGTAACTCCACACCTCCTCCTAATTTCCATACTATAAATTTTCTGCATAATACTTACACCACACACTGCCCCACACGACGTTCCCACTGCCTCCAGCCTCCTCCTCGCTGCAGCCACAACTCATGCTTCACACCCACATTTGAGTATTGGTACCGCTATACTCTCACACATTCCCTTCTTTGCATCCCTGGATAATGATTTTTGTCTCCACAGATACCTCAACACATCCCTCACCTTTTTTCCTTCATCAATTCCATGGTTAACCTCATCCTTCATAAACCTATCTGCTGACTAATCTACTTCTAAATATCTGAACACATTCACTTCTAAATAGTACTGAAATTCCTTCAAAAATATATTACTTTAGTACATCAATTCTCAGAGTCATCCAGTATGACCGCTATCACATGCTCTATGAATATCAGCGACAAATTCCCACAAATCCTTTATTTGAAATTAGTAT